AGTGGTAGGACAGAAGACTGTTACTTTGTAGCTTTAAATATTAGGAATGCGATAGTAGATAGATGCTGGATTATCACTAAAACCATGGTAATCTGGGTTTGTGGCCTGCATGAACTATAAGGTGGTATTTTAGAGATTTTTTTTCATTTTTGGTGCTTTTACCGGTTTTTGAATAAATAACCTACTATATTGCAATAGTCATCGGAATATTGCTTGTATTAAAGCATTTAAGAATTAAATAAAGCTATTTTTAGGAGCAGATAAATGTGTTTAAAGCTGTCAGTATGTTTTCACCTTTAAATGTAGTGTTTACTGTGTGGCAGCACTGTATTGCTGTTACTGTGTTCACTATGCAAAAAGTCCCATGCCACAGTTACAGAGAAAAAAGAATTACATTGCTTAGTATAATAAATTGAGTCAGAAGAATCTGTGTCTTTTGCAGATAACACATACTCTGTGTTAATTTTTTTTTAAGGAGCAAGTATTATTTTGAAGAGCTTAAGATTCTGTGAAAAAGATGTTTCCTTTAAGAGACACTGAGATGGGTGCCTCCACCTTCTTTGCCTCAGCTCTGCCACATGATGTTTGTGGAAGTAATGGCCTTCCTCTGACACCCAACTCCATAAAAATTCTGGGGAGATTTCAAATCCTTAAAACAATCACCCATCCCAGGCTTTGCCAGTATGTCGATATTACCAGAGGTAAACACGGTGAGTATCTCTTTAATAAGGAAATTTTATGTGTGGTTACACTTAAGTTTTTGTGACAGTATAACTAAAAGTGAATGAGCAGACTATTGCTTTTATAGCACCAGAAGGTGGCTATTTTTAAGTCTCAAAATGACTATATGCCTTTGCTGTGACTGACAGTACTGGTGCTTTTGTTTCTTCTCTAGGCAGTTAAGGCAGTGGTTAGTTGTCTGTCCTTTTTTGTTATATTATGCTAACTGATAAAAGCTAAGAACGTTTTCTTATATCACCATTAAACTCTTGTACTCAGTTACCATGCCACATCTTTGTGTGGGACATTGAAATACACATTTCTTTGATGCTGAGCTTCTACATCCATGCTCTAATCTTGTGAATATTTTGATGTGATGGTTAGATTTAGTGTACCTACTGTAAGGTACTTGTAAATCTTAGCTAGCATTGTAGGAGGCAATCCCAGATTTTTTTCTTCCAAAGAAAGTTTAAGTTGGTCCTTTGAATTCGAAAAGGAGAAACAAAGAGTTGAGTAACAAGCATTCCACTGTTGATGTGATGACTTGTGTTTCTCAAGTACTTTCCATCTTTTTCTTACTGTAACAATCTTATTATAAAGAATGTTTGAAATTGTTTAGTTTGATTTGGTTTTCAACCTGAATATTCACTACTTGTTTCTTTCTAAGTGGTGGAAGTAGCAAAGCCTAGCTTCTTTAGGAGTTAAGCTGCATCCCATCAGTCTTAAGAAGATGTGGGATCCCTGCAGGTCCTGTAGCTAATTGCTGGTCAGGAGCTACTAGAGGTAGTAGTGTGAGTTGGCCCATCAGGACTGAAACTCTTGTGTTCACTCTCAAAGGTGGTGTTACTTTGAGTCTCTCTCTCATCAACACACCCACAGATTTCTGCAAATTTGTAGATGCTTATCTTCTGTTCTTTAGGATTCTAGTCCTCTTACACTTTCTCTCTTTTTTTTTATTTCCTTTTAAATAGAGAGGCTGGTTGTAGCAGCTGAACACTGTGAGAAGAGTCTGGAAGATTTGCTACGAGAAGGCAAGCCAGTCAGGTAAGGTGTCAAGCTAAATCAAATCAACTCATCATAATCTCACATATCATCTGTGACAAAGCCCTGGATTTTTTAGCTTTTACTGGTTTATATAAATTTTAGTCTGTTAAAATTTAACCTAAAGACATTGTTTATCAGATAAAGCATTTGCCTGAAGGTGGGAGTACTTACTCCTGTACAGTTCTAAAAGCCAGAAGAGTTATGGGGAACATGCTTACAACTGAAATACTTTGTAACTCATAAAATCATATCTGTCTTGTAATAGTAGTTTTGGGTTTTTTTAAAAAAATAGAATAATACTTATGACAGCATAAGTATTTGCCTAAATATTAATTTTAACATTTTATGTCTGCCAGATGATTAAATACAACTTTCACTAGTGCAGACAGAATTTATGTTTTTCATATGCAGAAGTGTATTAATTTATTAACTAGAAAGTGGACAGGATGTCAGGTGTGCCAGGGTGCTAATTAAGTGATTTAAATTTCAGTTAACATAGTCACTTCAGCAAGGCCTTGGTCAAAACCAAGTCCAAAGGCTGGATGTCAAGAATATTGCATGCAAGGATGTACAGAATAACTCTAATTTTAAAGTCTGTCACTATTACCTAGGTTTTTCCTGTGATATATATTACAGCCCTTCCCACAGTTTTGCATCAGGTTCCTGTTGTGCAAGGTTCCAGAAATAGTTAAAGCGTTAGAAGTTCTTTTCTTTATTTTTCATTCAGTTCTCACATTGTTCTTTGAACGTGTGTGTCATGGTGTCAGCTGAGAAGTAGCTCAGCCTATCTGCTGCCTCTTGCCTGTTTTTGAAAAAGCATGCATGTAGCTGCTTTTATTTGTTTTGATACAGTATACTTACACAGATTCTCTGACAACTTCTGTGGCAATATAATCCTGCAGCCTTAGAAGTGCAAGGGCCAAGATAACCCTTTCTGAGGGGGGGAAAAAAATATTTCTCTACCATAATTAATGAATAACAGTTCTGGTCTGTATGCACATCTATTATGACCTGTAGTAGCACGTGTTTTGTGGCATCCAAAAGGATTTTTGAGATGTTTTTAGATAGTTTGCTAAGGTGTGCAACTTTGGTTTTTTTACATGATAAGAGAAGTCAGTTTATGATAGTTACCTCAGCTCTTTGGGCTGTGGCTCTGTTGAGACAAGATTTGTTTTTTCCTCGTGGCTTGAGAGAGCTTTTACTGAAGTAAGTTATTCTACTATCTGATCTTTCTTCTAATGAGCTGCTTGAGATTTCTTCAGGAAGTTGTAACACCTGAGATATAGGGCTAAAATATAGCCTGTATATATGGTCATAGATTTCAGAGGCATTAGTGATTTACCTGCTGTAAATCACAGCTTTTGTAGTAGTAGCTAAAAGATAAATTATGTTCACTGAAAATGAGTTTTCTTGCAAGGCTGACATTTATGCCTCTACTTATGTTTTTTTAATGAAAACATACATTTTTGGTTCTTATGTAAGACATAAATTTTCAGAAATAACTTGGATAGACTAATTCCCAGTTATTGGCTATATCATCTGTCTATATCAATTACCTTTTGAGGAAAGTATTTGGCTTTTTCCATGTATTCTGATTGTATTGGTCAGTGATAGCATGGCTGGTTATACATCCGGATGTGTATGCTATTGCAATTAATTTTATAAACTTTGTAGAATGTGAGAAGCTGCTCTTCTGGTTTCTAGATTAATTTTCCTTACACTTGCCAGTAATTTAAGTCCTTTGCACCTGTACCACAAGCTGGAAATCAGCAGGAAAAAAACAGCAGGAAATCTTCTGTTATGTTAGTTTATGTTAGACATTACATTATGGACAGTCTATCTTTGCCTGCATACTGGAAAACAGGCCATACAGCTGTTTGGTAGTTATTTGCAGTGAATCTTTCCTGAAGTCATGCATTAAGTGTAGCATACATTCCTAAATATATTAATTGTATTGGGGAAAAAAAAAAGTAATGGAGTTCTTTGTTCAATTACTCTGTCTTTTAATTCCGATGAATCAGTTGCACATATGGACTGAATACTGGACACGAGTGCTCTAACCATTTACCTCTTCTGCCCTGTCACAGTGCAGTAAGCCATTTTACTGAGTGTGTCACCAAAAGTGTTCTAGAGCTTGGATTTGTGATGTATTCAAGAATTCATTCATTACCTAACAATACTGTGACAGTAATCTCCAGGAATCACAAATGTGATTTGTCACTGTCCTTGAAATTAACACTTTCAAAGGGTAATGCAAGAATGTATTTGGTAATTTATGGCCAGATTATTTTCTCTTTTGAGTCATGCATATTTGGGAACCTCGAAAGAGCATGTATTGCTGTTAGGACTCTATCTGGTGGATTTCAAGAACTCTCAAATGAAATGAGTTGGCTCTATGCAATTCTTACTATAGGTAACCAGGTGCAGAAACGGAATTTAATACAGCTCTTTATTGTTTTCTGTGTTTTATTTAGGGGATGGCCATGTGGACATCGTAACTACAATTAATGTGTATAAAAGTGGCACTGATTCCAATTTTCTTTACTGTGCTTCCATAAGGCATCAGAAAAATAGCAGGGAAGTTCTTCTGTGGTTGTGTGCTGCAGGGAACTCATGCTGCAACCATGGATAAGAGGTTTAGGATAGGATAAGAATTCTAGTCACTGATGTCCCATTACTTACCAGACCAGTTTCCATTGTCCTCTGAGAGACTGTAGTCTGGGTCATTGTTTCCTGCTTATTACTGATTTATTGTCCTGTTTGTTGTTACTCTGAGTTAGAGGGCAAATGCACTTAGTTTTAGTTCATTACAGTCAAGTTAGTGTCAAATCGGATCTGTAATGTATGTTCAGGAATCAGTTAAACATTTAAAGGGCTAGGAATTTATGTATGTAGTTAAGCAAAAATAGTAAATACCTGATTTAAGTTCACTTAGTTTACTACTGTTCAGAGATTTGAAAATGTGTCTCGGTCTGACTTCCTCTGTCTTCTTGTATATGCAAGGATTTTTTTCTTGTGAATGAATTGAAAATAAGTCACAAAAAATTATCTTGGGTAGAAGTTTTGTACTTCAACAGTGTCACCAAGAGTAGTTCTCAAGTTTGTGGCAGGTAAAATTTTACTAGATTTTTTTAAAAGTTGCTAGTTATTTTAGCAGTGTTGGTACCACAAACCTGATTGTAAGAGATGCCTTTATTTTTTAAGGTTTGCCATCTTTTAAGCACATTTACAGCTACTCCTTTGGGATACCTTTTCCAGACAGTGTTAAAGGAGTTATTTTCTGTGCTTCTGTGGTATTATAATAGGAGCTGTGAGCTTTTCCTATTCTGTCACGCTTGAAGTGTATTTTTTTCTTTGAAGATGTTCATCTGCACTTGTATTCATAGTAATAAAAATGCCAGCAAATGCTGACATTCAGCAGACTTTTGGCACCTACAGCGGAGTTTCTGGATTAGTCTTCAGTTTGTGGCTTGGGCAGTCTAAGCCTATTCCTTTCTTCAATAAAATATAGTTGTCATATGTTTCGAAAGTCATGGTTTTGAAAAGTTACTAGTGAACCATCAGAGATACAAGGTATAGATTGTTATACACAGAACATTTGATGGGAAGCAGACTTTGTCTGCAGCTGTTTACTAGTTTGGAGAAAACATGATCTGACTGATTCGGATGAGTACACTTTATTTGGCCATATTAAACAGTTGTCTGCTCATTGATAGGATTAGATTTCTTTATGCCATCCTTGTGGTTAATGTGTTTTTGGCAAACTTGAAGTGAAACTATGTTGCAGAAGAGATTAAGTGGGAGGAAAAAGGGATTTCTGAGTAGCCAGGGATTCTTCAAAAATATTGTTAGACAGGTGCAAGTCATCAAAGGCTGAAAGTTTTACATGATTTGACTTGAAGAGCAGCATATGAGCAGAACTTCAAGGGCTGAGTGTATTCTGCTTTGAATCAAGTCTGTGTTGGAATTTCACATGAGAAATCCATATGTCATAATGAGGCTGCATTTACAAACGATAAATAATGAAGCAGTAAAGTGAAGTAGCGTTAATAAACAAACAAAATTATTTTTTTTCCTAACCATGTGTGAAAGTCAGTCTATAGTTTGGATATTTAATGTCTGTAGAATTCTCCTTTAGTTTCTTGCCAGTGCTTCACTTCCAAAACTGTGATGAAAGGTTAGCCATTAGTCCAGACTTTTTTTATAGGTTATCCAATGAAGTTTTTTTTCATATAAGATTTTTTTTTTATCATTTCTGTAAGTAATTTTTAGTCTGACTGCAAGTCTTCCTGTAGCGTTTCTTTTAGTATAGGTTGTTTCTTGTGAATGCCTTTCCCCTCACAATGAGAAAATGATTGTTTGAAGTGGAAAAGGGGTACAGCTTTCATGAGGTGGTGGAGGTGAACATTATTGTTCTTGATGTCTGAATGACCTTTTTAGGTATGGAACCAAATTCTTTGCTTGTATAGTTGGCTGCAGTGTTTGATGACAGCACAAAGACATCCCAGAACACGTCCCTGCCTCCCTCACAAGTGAAATGTAACAGTGTGTACATGCTCATTTCTTATTTTCCTCTCTTCCGGGAAGAAAGAAAACAGAATAATCCTACTCTTTGAATTACAATAATCTCTGCTTCTTCTGATTAAAAAGGAGATATGATGGCTATATATAACATAAAGTCTGTAGACATGGAAAAAGTGTGTAATTATGTTTCGGTCTTTTGGTCTACTATGCTTCTTTTGTAGTTGCTTGTAGACACTTCATACAGATTTCCATACTAAAAGCAGTATTAAAGACCTTAAGTTGAAGATGAGTTATGCTGAGTTAGAACAAAAGTAGTGGAGAGTTCTGAGTCTTCAGTATCTAGTGAAAGAGGGTGTTGAGTTTCTCTCAAAAAGACTAAACACCATCCGCAGGGTGGCTTCATCCTGCAGGGAGATTTCTGCAAGGAATTGTGTAAGGATCAGTGTTAAAATTCCATTCAGCATGAATGAGCAAGC